AGCGGTTATCCGCTTAGTTCGATCCGGGAATCATTCAGAACTGTTCCATAGGGCCACACAGATGTCTGTTACGGATATGCATTCCAAGCTTCAGGCACTTCAAAATGCCTACCGGGAACACTGGACTCGTTTCAATCTAACGCGTATGTGGTTGGGTGCTTGTCTGATGCTGTCCAGCGTCCTGTTCTGGTCTGTTTCATGGTCCGGTCTGGCCTCATTGTTGTGGATCGGCCAGCTGAGTTGCACTGTGCTCGTCTTGTTCGATTCACCTGGATTCAACTGGATGCAGATTCCGTTCACGATCTTATGTTCTGTCATCATCTTGTTGATGATCGTTTGCTGGCTTCGGTTCCAAGCGGGACGAATGGTACAGACCTGGTCGATCACTTTTGTTCTGATCCTCGCTCTGGTTCACTGGTCTAATAGTTTCCTCGTCAATGAGTTCCGCGTCACTCACTTTCTCATCCAAACACTCATACTGTGTAACCTAGTCCCTCTAATAAAACGCACCGACGTCGGTGGTAGTTGGTCTGTGAAACGTGTCTTTGGTTTGAGCATCCCCATTCAGTCACTCTTTCTCCTGCTGATCATCCGATTCAGTCTGGGCTTGGAAATGTGCCGTGAGGAATCGTATGCACAATCTGTTTGTCGATCCGGTACCGATCCATGGCTGGTCAAACCGTTGGGAAAGCTCAGTCCAGCCGAGGCTTACTCATTGGCTTTGTGGCGTGTGTTATTTTCTGCGAGCATTCTGACCGGTTTCACGTTTGGTCTACGTCGTTGGTTGCAACGTACTGGTTTGTTGAACCGATGGAACGGGACCCGATTTGCTGTGGAAGCACTAGTCCCATTGGGGCTACTGGTGCTTATTGTCTGTTGGATTTTGGATGTCGCGCCGGTCGCGTTGCAACATTCCAAGATTTTATCATTGCCCACGATATTTTTGTAAGTTTTGTTGATCAATTCGCGGTAAGAAATATTCAAAGTTGAAATACGCACTTTTTTACCCTTTGAGGTGCTAACTGTTCTAAGAATTTTTTTCTCGATGAAAGCAATGCATAATGTGTTCCGGGAGGGGGTGTGTGTGGCTGTAATGCGAGGTTTTTAGGAACATGCAATCGGAGTTTTGAATTGGTCAACGCTCGATGCACAAGACATCAAAACATGGAAAAAATCGTAGTTCGTTGGATGGCTGTTTTCCCGCCCGATGCATTTTGCGCGGTTCATACGTTTCAAACGTCCCGCACATCGCATCGCTCACTCGTGTCGGTAACCATTGCAGTCAAAATGTCCTCAAGTTTGTGCTCTCCTTCTTGGGTGTTTTGGAACCAGTTTTTTCCCACTGCTCTGGAGAAGACAAGTTTTTTGGGAATGATTAAGCCGGAGTGTAACCCGTATCCGAGTTTTCCGTCCTCTCGTGTTACTGGAAATGCTGTCACAAAGGAAGTGCGGTGAATAGGAGCTTTTCTCAGCTCAGATAGATTGAAATATGTATTTTGCGAGAGTATTTCTTCTAAAAATAACGAAAATTTGGATGAGTTAGAGCTGTGTAATTGACAATCGGAGTTCTTAAATTCAATCTTTTCTTCCTTAATTCCTTCACAATCTACTGTTATGAACAGAATTGAAAATGTTTTTTGCTTCCATTGTATTCTATGCTAAGGATTTATGCAGTCCGAAATATTGCCTATTACACCGAGAGAGAGAGAGGTCAAGTGGAAAAGTATCATACCCAAACAGGGAGCTCCATAATCAGCTGGATTATGGTTGGTAACACGAAAACGACCTGACTAA